GATGGGTTAATAGGGTTCATTCATTTTCGAATGGAAGGAAGAAAGGAAGGAAGGAAGGTCGATATTAACGTGGAAAAAAAGGAAGAAAAATAGAAATAGATCACGCGAGATAGCAAATAGTTATTCTTTTTTTCGTGCTTTTATTGGGAAAATATATGGACACTCGCGTTAGCTAGCATCGTGTTATTTATATCAGCATCAATTTGTCAACGCGAGACGGTGGAAACGTTACCATGCCTATTCAAGGGATTTAATCGAAACGAAGAGAGCGGTCGAACATTAAACTACCATGGGGAACGTTGAAATGTGCGAATTCGCGACAATATGAAGGTCGCGTTAGATATACTACGTACTGACCCTTCCTGAAAAAGAACTGGGGACTCGTATTTGCATAAATATAAAGAGAGTATATTAGTCCTTTTATCTCTTTTTTTTATTTCTTTTCTTTTATTTTATTTTATCTTTCATCATTATTAGAATGGCGTACCACACAATTACTAGTTCTATCCATTTGCAAACATGAAAAACGCGTTAGGTTTTTTTTAATGTTTCTTTTCTTTTTGTTCTATATATTTCATAGAGACGAGTGCAAGTATAAACTCGGAAATGTTAGGGAAGGAAAGATCCGAAGCAATCTTCGTGTTTACATTTTGAAGAACGTGTAAAAACAAGCCGCTTGGCATCTGCCTAAATCCAAATGATTCAACAAGGCACGACACGCGCCTGGCTTTACGGAAATATTTGGAGTATTTGAAATATAACCTATGTAATTTCGTGATCAAAAATTATAATCGCCAATGCGTTTCTATTTGTTTAATAATTCATCTTTCCTCGATTTTTGTTACGTAGAAGATAAATCTATTCTTTTTTACTTATTTTTGATCATTCATTATTTAAATTTTATGCACATTGATTTTGATGAATAATTTGAAGCTAAGATTAAACTTTTTTAAAGTAAATAATTACATTAATAAATAATTTAATAAATACATAATTAAATTTAATAAATACTTAAATAAATACACATTAATTCTACTTTTAGTATCTAAATAATCAGAATTATTTTATTCTAATTAAAAAAAGAAAAAAGAATAGATGTTTCTTCTAATTGGCGTGCCGTATTCTAGGTTCAATGTTTTTTTTTACATTATTTTTATTTATTATACAATATAATATAACATCGTTAAAAAATACCTGTTATTCGTGCACTAAAATAAAAAAAAATAAATTTAATTAATTTTTAATTTAATGCATTGAATTCATAATCAAAAATAAATACATATATTCATTTACGCGAATGAATGAGCACAAGTACATACTCAAGTAAATATATTTGTATATATATGTGCTGTCATTTTTCCAAGTAATATTACCAAACGATATCCCACTTCTTTCGATAAATGTTTACCAAATTTGGTCAGATTCGACCAGCTCTCGGATGTTGAATAAAATTGAGGAGATATCGAAGGTGCGTCATGCATAAAATATTTTTGTTCTCTTTTTTTTTTTATTATTATTATTATGTATAAAGAAAATAAATATTATTTTCTTCTTTTAATCGCACGAAGAGTAATGTGTATTTCGTAACCGTATACTCAATTTAAATTATGACACATGGAGATACGATTTCCACCATGATTTCCGCCATTTTTCTCAACATTTTTCTTGCGAATTCAAGGATCGTTTAGGGTAAAAAAAAAATCAATGTGTGCATTTACGAAACAAAAAATAGACGACAAATGGTCGAGATTCTAATAAAGCGATTATTTCGTCAATGTAAAAGTATTTTGTTTTAAATACCGAATTTTGAGAAGTTAAAAAAGCAACAATGAACAAAAAAAGTTATATGTACAGTACGTGTGACAAATTATAATTACACGATTATATAAAACATACGATTGGGAAATATTTTGCACATGTTTAACGTATATTCATTTTATTATGCATAACGAATGTCATGATGAATAATTACATTTTCAAATTTCGTATATTAAATAAATGTATAAATTATACGAGACTTCAAAGTTTTTGAAACGTTCCGTCTATGTTTTAAGCGCGAATTCTCATTCGTAACACGTGTAAAACACGTGATAATTCATGTTTGAATTATAGATCGGCAAATGGCCAAAATGTAGTGAATCCGTGTAATACTACCATCGTCAAATTATAACCTCTAAAATTTATACGTATAGTTCGAAAGAATCGTTACATTTATCCACACGAAAAATAAAAACAAAAACCAAAAAAAAAGAAAAAAGACTAATGAAACAATAATATTACTTTACCTGATAGGAGAGATCGACACCAAATAAACGATGTCGATAAATCTCGTTAAATCTTCCTCTTCTTTTTCAACAGCCAAACTTTGATATGCGTCGATTTCTTTTGATAGATCACCGGCCCGCGTTGAACGCCATGATGTATTTAAATACGTAATCCTCGTGCGTAGCCGTTTATTTCCATATTATTGCGATATGTATATGTATTAATAATAAGTATACTTTCAATTCTTTTCTTTCATTATTACCGATAATTATACAACGAATTAAATAACACTTTCACACACATTGCTATCATCTAAAAAGATTGTTGTAAAAAAAAAACAACAAAAATGATAATACGTGACATGATCGGTGACTAATCATCAAAGTGAAAAAAGAATCTAAAAGAAAAATGTTAAAGGTAGACAAATAATAAAAAGTAAAAGAAAAAAAAATCAAATTAGAAAGAGGGAAGAAAACAAGAAAAAGGAAAATAAGAAAAAAAAAGGTAAAAAGAGAAAACGTAAAAATCTAACCTCACAGTAACAGAATGAACCAATTATTGATGATAGAAAATAGAGAGAATAAAAGTTGTACACTACTATAGTTATTAAAAAATACTTTGGTGTAATGCATCCTCGAAGATGACAACATCAACAACGGTGGTCGCGAAAAATACCGTACACAACACTGTCCATACGCATACCGTCTACGCGCGCGGCCACGCTCGCACTCCCACTGCCACGCACCGGCGTAAATACTTACCTTCTAGCGCCAGAGAATTATCCTACGTAGCGGTAGAAGAGGGGAGGGTACCAAAAAGGGTGGGGAAACTCTCTCACGCGATTCCTGTAACTGACGAAGAAAACTAAAAAATTTATATTATCTATATACATTATTTTTTCTTCATTACCAAATATAAACGTATATATATTAAATAATATAATATAATTTATATATATATATATATATATATATA